GTCCCCGTGCAACGGCCGTATGCTGGGGAGGCTTCCCCAGCCACTGCTGTCCCCAGCCTGGGCAGGATGTGGTGCTGGGTCATTCAAGCCTGACCAGGAGAAAATCAAACACAAAGCTTAACTACCAAGTGGCTAAATGCATTAAACGGGGCCCCAAATAAGACACAGAAGCAGCATGGCAGAACCAATGTGGTCTCCACCTCTTGCCCTCATCCTCACACATGGAAGAGAGCTGGGAGGTTTATACTGTTTTTTCTGCCCAAAGATCCTTATTTACAGTCTAGTTCTCATTGCAATTGGCAGAGAAGTGAATGCTACTGGGCTGACAAGTCCAGCTGACCATGTTGTCTACTTCATGCCATTATACTCAAAGCAGCTTAGGAAGCAGACACCTTCTTGGGAAAAACAGGACTCTACAACCTTCTAGGATTGGCACCTCACAGGATTTTGATGTGAACAATTCTGGAAGTCCCACACATTTGTTGTCTTGTGACTTCAACTGCAAGGAGTAAACATGGGGACCTGGGGGTGATCCACCCTTGTGATCCCATTAGGGGATGGTCATTGCATCATTCTTGATTTACCTGCCAAGTCAGTTTTCCCAGAGCAAATCAGAGGGCATATCCCTGCAGGCTCTCTCTGACTAGCCAGGAAAACACCATGGGACGGAAGTTCAGAATCACAGCAGGGTCTTTCCCTCCTTCTCCCTCACAGTAAGTGAAAGACACCTCTCAGCCTTTCATTATCCAGCTCTGGGAGACAGAGCTCTCCCTTAATCATGTTCCTGCCATGAGGAGACCCATCCATGCAGACTGTCCACAGGCGAGTAGAGAATAAAGAGCTTTTGCTCTGGATTTCTCACCTAAAGACATCAGTTCATCATCCAGCAAGGAGACAGAGCCAGCTTGGTCAGGCACGGGCACTGCTGAGCCACCTGAAAGGGTGGGCAAGGCTGGGTAGGAAGGGCCTGTTGCTGGAAGATCCAGGCCTGACAGATCCAGAAGTGCTGAGGTGCTCCCTGCAAAGAAGGAACAAGCTGAGACAGTCCTACCCAGCATGCTGAGGCCAGTTCCCATCCATCCTCATACCTGGGAGAAGGAATTTCCCCCCCTACTCTCCCAATTCCCTCTCCTCATGCACCAAGTCATCTCCACAACCCTCTCCCTCACTGCGCCAGCTCCACTCTGACCTCCTGCAGGTTCCACCTTTCTCTCAATCTTCTCTTACACTGCAGGAAACCAGCAACAGGGTCCCTCTGCTTGACCTTCCTGTCTCCATTCCCCAAATCTCCTCACCTCGAAGGGGACCAGCCACTGTCTCCCCATTGATCTCTTCTCCCCGTACAAGCTGCTTATAGAGATTGATCACCTGTGTCAGATTGTCATTGGCTTGCAGGATCTCCGCTGAAATGGAACAGGTGGGAAGGGAAGTTAGTTTGAAAATCGTGAAGAAACGAAGGGAGTGACTTTTATACCCCGACTCTTGTCTATTCCTTCAAAGCAAGGCTGAAGGAGCTGGTAACAGCCCACTGCAGAGAGCATTTTTGCAAGTGTTACTGCAGACTGCACCAGGGTACGCTGACCTCTCTGTGCAGTCTCAGCAAGACAAGCTCAAGGGTCATTCCTGCAGCAAAGCAGAGGAAACCTGTAACGCTGCTGGTTGCTGCCACGTGCCCCTGCTTAGTGCCAAGCCATAGACTAACGAACCCACAGCGAGCAGCCACCCCAAACAGAGCGGCAGCTGCTGACAGATGCCACAGCATGGGCAGCCCAAGCATAGGCTCTCTGAAACAAGATGGTGGGAGAAGGGGATGGAATGAGAAAGGCCAGATACGCTTACCCAGAGCTTCATCATTGTCTTCTGTGTCGCTGGCGAGCCGGAAAAGCATGGGCCTCATGCGCTCGCAGCGCTGATACAGCTCCTGGGGGAGAAGAAAGGGGTGCTCAGGATGCTCAGCTAGGGGTGCAGAATGATCAAAAGGAACTTGGGGGACAGCGGTCAGCCATCTCTGCTGAGCTCAGGTAGGATGCTGGGACGACCCTTCCTCACCTTCATTAGGTCCTCGTTGCTTTCTGTTGTCTCTCCCTTGCTGTAGTTTGTCACCATCTCTGTCAGCAGTCTCACATTGTTGTTCACCTCTTCAATGGCATTCACCCTCTTGGAGATCTTCTCCATGCGCTTCTGGTCCTACAGGGGAAGCACTTGGCAAAAAATGTCCTTGCTTTTGTCTGCAACCTGGAGAAGGAGGAAGGCTGGCCCAGCCAACACACCAGCTCCCTGGACTAACGCACAGGATGCTGCCCCCAAAACAGCTTCCACTCCAGTGGAAAACCCCAAATTAACTCTAGGCTAGCACTAGCCAGATGGCTGCACATCTGGTTGCTGCAAAATTTTGGGCAGAAGCTCTGTATGCCTGCTTGAGGACAGAGAGCCACTGCTCCCTTGGTGCCAACCATTGCCACTCAGATCATGAACGCTCCCCCCAGCCCCTCTTCTCCCAAGCCGCACCTCCTGAACCATCTCCTTGATGAGCTTGTTGGCAGCCCGGAGGTCCTCAGGATGGGAACTTTTCAGGAGACGAGCCAGTATCTGCAGAAGAGAAAGCACCTTTGGGCCCAAGCTGAGGTGTGGCAGCTGAAGTCAATCTTGTAACACTGGAGCCTGTAGAGTCACCCCTGCCCAAAACCCAGACGTGGCAGCAGACAACATCGACTGTTTGAAAGCCCAGCCATGAGAGCTTGTGGGCTACCAGAGACGAGGGAAAGAAGAAGTATGACTGGTCTTCTTCTTGCCACTGTCGTTCTGGTTATGTAAGACAGGTCTTTCCCTGGAGATGCCCTGCATTTAAAACCTGCTCCTGCCTACCTGCTTTGCACCATGGAGGCCCTGAAGCACAGCAGCAACAGTACTGAGAAAGCAAGCAAGCCTGGTTTATGCAGGAATTGCCACGGGATCATAGCGGACTCTTACACAGACCTCTTCATGTGCCTCTTTGAAGGAGCAACAGGTGGAGGGAGAGCTTCCATGCTCTCTCCTCCTCCATAGTCAGTGAAGAGTCCAAGTGGCCACCTACAAATCCTCATTGGCATGCCTTGACACATGGAGACAAAATACATCCTCTGCAGCAAACTGGCATCACACCTCTGCTGCAGAACTAGACCTAGAGAAGCCTAATACTTGTTTCAATGTGTCAGCACTGATCAATTGCCCAGAGGTTTGTCTGAGCAGTGACACAATTCTTATGGAAAGACAATATAGCGATGGGTCCAGGAGAGTCTAAGTAGTTGGGTGATAAGCAGATTGCAGTGCTGGGAGTGGGCAAGAGATAGCAGCAGCAACATCTGAGGCTGGGATTTAAGCCTCATGGCCAGATAACACAGAAGCCTGGAGAGAGCACAGCAGCAAACCTCCCAGAATCTGCTGGGCTGACAGTGCTTAAGCCTTTGCACCACCTTGCAGCTTAAGCGCTCCAAAGGTCAAACAGACCCACAGGCCCCACCTCAGGCTGTTTCCTTTGTCATGAGTTTGGAGTAGGCCCTCAGCATTCCTGTGACGTTTTCTGAATGTGGAGCAGGGGCCCTGACTCTTTCTGGATCTCCACCTCAGGGGGCCAGGAGATTATGGAGAAGGGAAGATGTTGCCCGCTGTCCCTCTCCTTGCACAGAGCCCTTACCTTAGATTTCTCTTCGTCATCAAAGATGATGTTCTTGGGCCGAGGAGGAGGTGGCGGAAGAGGAGCGTCATCAGGTAGTTTTGGGTCGCACTTCACAATTCCTGCAGAAGACACCAATGGAGAGGTCAGGAGGACTCACCTAGTGGGGGATGACACTGCCACCTACATCTTTTCTTCCCTAACAGCCCACCAAACCCAGCTAGGACTACAGATGTGTGGCTTTGCTTCTGCTAGCCATGATCCTAAATTATGTTTTCATGGAAGAACTGCCCTCCACTCCCCCTAAATATCCTTTTAAAAAACCTGGCATCAGCTGCCAAAGCACTTGCAGCCCTTCAGCATCAGACCTTTCCAGTGCCCCATCTCCTGTAGGAGCAAGCAGATGCCCCCTACAACCCATCAAGGAACTCAGACCACCAGCAACAACCTCTGATTAGCTAAGAACCCCAAGGCACTCACTGCTTCACCTGCCCCTGGTGCTGAGCCAGGCTGATGGGTGTGCTGGGTCTGGGCACAGGAAAGGGAAAGTCTTGAGATTCTGCCCAGATAAAAACCAAGGCATGGCAAACCATTTGTCCACCTTGCCCTTCCAAACCACTGCTTGTCACCTTGTTTCTTCAGCATCTGGTACGCTTCTGAGATCTTCACCTCGTGAGGCAGCCCTAATGTCCAGCTGTACATCAGCTCCAGGATCTTCGACTTCACTTTTTCTGGTGTCCGGCTGCCAAGATACTAGAGGAACAGAGAAGAGGTGGCTTGAAGCTCATCTGAGCCATCACAAGCCTGGCCTGTTCCTCTCCTCCCCTCCCCCAGGAGAAGTGAGACCGTTCCCAACGGCACAAGGAGGAGGAAAGAGGAAGCAAGCAGGAAAGCTCACGAGGCCCTTGCAACATGCCCTAGATCGTGTTTGGTTTCCACCACAGGAAACACTAGAGGTGGGAGAAATGCATCACCAGCAGCCCCTAAGCGACATGCAGGGACAGGTAGGAAAGCTCAGGATGGTGTCTACTGCCTTGTGAAGGAAAAGGTGCTGCTAACAGAAGCTGCTTGGTAAGGCAGCCCTTCAGGAACGAGGGCACAGCAGGGCTGGGAGAACTGTGGATAACAGTTGCTCGGGCAGGACTGAGCCCTTTCTCTCAGCAGCACGAGTGCCTGGCACCCTTTAGAGCTGGGTGAGCTCCAGATGATCCGCACCCAGTGGCAAGATGTCCAGTTCTCCCCTTGCCATGCAATCCTCCTCCACCCTTCGCCCATGAGACTGCTGGAGGCACTGGCGGTAGAAACAGTGCCTGTGCCACCAGAGGCCAGTGGCTTAAGGTAGAGAACACGCTCTGGGATACCGAGCAAGAGGACTTTAGGATACTGCTGTCACTGTCTCTGGCTATTCATCATCACAGACCACAAGCTGTGACAGGCAGACAAAGGTTTTCCTTAGTTGTATTTACTCAGTGTCTCCTTAACTCTCTACGTGCTGGCGTTAAATGCCTTGATTGAATAGGAGAGCACACACTGCTTGTTCTGCTGCAGAAACAGCAGCATCAGCAGAGGAGCAGGCAGTGACTTCGTGCTTCAGATGGACCTGTCAGAGCATCACTGACCAAGCCTGGGCTTGCCCTCTGAGAGTGTCTCAATCAGGTTGGGACACTCCAGAGACAGGGTCATGATGTTGGTGCTGGGGGAGGTTCCTGAGCACGTGCAGCACAGACAGAGCCCAAGAGAGATGCAGGGAAGGTGATTCCAGGCACGCACTTGAGCTCAGCAGTCTCAAAAGCGCTGGTTGCATCAAGCCTAGCTGGCCCTCAGCTTCCTGTATCAAGAATCAGTCTGGAGCAGAGGGGTAAAAGCTCACCTTCGCACCAAAAAGCTCCCGCGGAACAAGGACTAAACATCCTACTAGCACTGTCCTGCTTCCCCCACATCCCAATGGGCACCTGTCCTTTCTGTTCAGCCACCACTTCTTTCCAAAACCCTCCTGCCATCAGGCTCCAGTCCCCTCCAGCACAATGCCCTGAGACCCACCTTGGGCGACACCACTTTGATGAGCTCATTGAGGAAACGGAACTTGCCCACCTCGTCGTGGAAGCGTTTGCCGCAGCTCTTCATGCAGGTCTCCAGCACCTGAGGAGAGGGGCCAGGTGAGTCCCAGCACAGGGTCGGCAGCAGGATCAGGAGCCAGCTCCCTCCTGGCCAGGCATGGAGCCCGTGGCTAGCCTCACAGCAGTGCAGAGGGCCACCCCCTTTCCCTCTCAGGTGGCCAAATACCCTCCCACAGAGAAGCAATAAGACTTTCCTCTTTGGAGTCAGTCTTTGCAGAGGTAGCTCAACAACCCATGGAAGGTGAAACCCTTGGAGAACTCAAACACTGCAATTTCACAGAGTGGATACACAAAGTGGAAAAGACCTTCAAGATCATTGAGTCCAACTGTTAAATAATACTGCAAAGTCCACCACAACAAAAACCAAAAAGCTTCCTATCAACTTGAACTGGCTATGATCCTTCCTAGGAATGAGACCTTTCCTACTGGTCACCTCTGCTCCCTTGTGCAATCACCTTCAGCCCCTCTCCCACCTAAGGGGCCAGGGGCTCCAGGGCTTTTTCAGTGGGAATTCTAGCTCCCATGCTCTTCCATTCAAACTGGTGCAACTCCATGCCCTGGCCCTCCATCTAGTTCTACCAACCTGCAGATCCCCTTACCGTGAGGGCTTGAATAGCTTCCCATTCCTGTGGAGACTGGATCTTGTGGGCAAGAAGCCGAGTAGCGAGTGGAGGACTGGAAGGAGTAAGGGGGGAAAAAAAAAATTTTAAAAAAGCAAGCTAGCTAGTTATTGATGAAATGCCAGATACCCGTGTTTCTATTTGGGAACCTAGGGTTGAAGACCATGATGAAAGTTTAAGGCACTGATAAGGCACCAAGACACCTCAAAAACTTAGGGGAACCTTCTGTTAGTGGACCAGGATCCCCCATCCACCCCCGCTTTGACAGCTTCATGCCTGTTCAACTCTTGAGACAATCCCACCAAATTTTACTGGGTGGGGCATCATAACGCAGGTCTGTGACCTGAAGCTGCCTGAGGAAAGGACAAAACACTTACCCCTCTAGCTCTTTATTGAGCTGCTCACAGAAAGCATTGATACCATCCCAGTCCAGGTCCTTATTCAGGGGGTTTGTCGCTTTGTCTGCAGATGGGAGAAGGGAACGGTGAGAAAAAAAATCTCCCCGAGGCTCCTGTTCTGTGGACGTGAGGTGTGACACTGCTCCTGCTCCCTCCTTGCCAACTCCACCGAGCGCATCGGCGCGGGATGGTGTGGAAGGAAGA